AAAGGTTGTGGGGTTGAACAGGAGTCTCCCAGTAACACCTTCTGAGACCGACCCTCGAGGAATGAGTGGAGCCACTGCAGAACAGTACCTCCAAGACCCATCCCCGCGAGGCGTCCCAGAAGGATACCGTGGTCGACGGTATCGAAGGCCGCTGAGAGGTCCAGCAGCACCAACAGGGACACAGGGAAGCAGGATACTTCTGCTTCATTGACTATTCTAAAGCCTTTGACTGTGGAGATCATAATAAATTGTGGCAAGTTCTTGGTGGGATGGGCATCCCAACCCACCTTGTCTCTCTCCTGAGGAATCTGTACAAGGACCAAGTAGCAACAGTCAGAACTGACCACGGAACAACAGACTGGTTCAAGATTGGGAAAGGCGTACGGCAAGGCTGCATACTCACCCAACCTTTTTAACTTGTATGCAGAACACATCATGCGATGTGCGGGGCTGGAGAATGCAAGGCTGGGGTGAAAATTGCTGGAAGAAACATTAACAACCTTAGATATGCAGATGACACCACTTTGATGGCCGAAAGCGAGGAGGAGCTGAGGAGCCTTCTAATCAAGGTGAAAGAAGAAAGCGCAAAAGCTGGGTTGCAGCTAAACATAAAAAAAACCAAGATTATGGCAACAAGAATGATTGACAACTGGAAAATAGAGGGAGAAAACGTGGAGGCCGTGACAGACTTTGTATTTCTAGGTGCAAAGATGACTGCAGATGCAGACTGTGGCCAGGAAATCAGGAGACACTTCCTTCTTGGGAGGAGAGCAATGTCCAGTCTCGATACAATAGTCAAGAGTAGAGACATCAGACTGGCAACCAAGATCCATTGCCTAGTCAAAGCCATGGTATTCCCTGTAGTCACCTACGGATGTGAGAGCTGGACCTTAGGGAAGGCTGAGCGAAGGAAGAGATGCTTTTGAGCTGTGGTGTTGGAGGAAAGTGCTGAGAGTGCCTTGGACTGCGAGAAGATCCAACCAGTCCATCCTCCAGGAAATAAACTCACTTCACTGGAAGGAAGGAGACTAGAGACAAAGTTGAAGTACTTTGGCCACATCATGAGGAGACAGCAAAGCCTAGAGAAGACAATGATGCTGGGGAAAGTGGAAGGCAAAAGGAAGAGGGGCCGACCAAGGGCAAGATGGATGGATGGCATCCTTGAAGTGACTGGATTGACCTTGAAGGTGCTGGGGATGATGACGGCCGACAGGGAGCTCTGGCGTGGGCTGGTCCATGAGGTCACGAAGAGTCGGAAACGACTGAATGAATGAACAACAACAAGCATCCTAGATTTGGAAGAGACCTGGTGGGCCACCCACTCCAACCCCATTCTGCCAAGAACCAGGGAAATTGCACTCAAAGCACCCCCAACAGATGGCCATCCAGCCTCCGCTTCAAAGAAGGAGCCTCCACCACACTCCCTCCAGGGCAGAGAGTTCCACCACTGAACAACTCACACAGTCAAGAAGTTCTTCCAAATGTTCAGGTGGAATCGCCTTTCTTGTAGTTTGAAGCCATTGCTTCATTGCATCCTATTCTCCAGGACAACAGGAAATAAGTCTCCTCCCTAGGACTTCCCCTCACATATGTATACATGGCCCTCATAATGTCTCCTCTCAACCTTCTCTTCTTCAGGCTTACCATGCCCAGCTCTTTCTACCACTCCTCATAGGGCTTGTTCTCCAGACCCATGATCATGAGTCGCCCTCCTCTGACACATTCCAGCTTAGAGTCAACATCTCCCTTCCATTGTGGTGCCCGGAATTGGGCACAGTGTGATTCCAGGTGTGGTCTGACCAAAATCTAGGCTCTAGGCTCCTCTTGATGCAGGCCTTTTAAGCTGCCAAGTGACATTCCTGGCTCATGTTCCCCTTCCTCCCCACGAGGACTCCAAGATCTTTTCCCACATGTCCTGCTCTTGAGCCAGGCCTCGTCCCGCATTCGGTCTCTTTGCATTTCATTTGTTTCTGCCTAAGTGGAATCTCTCACCTTTGTCCCCGTTGTACTTCATTGTGTTAGTTTTGGTCCATCATCTCTCTCATCCGTTGAATTCTGCTCCTGTCTTCCGGGTTATTGGCTCTCCCTCCCCATTTGGTCCCATCTGCAAACTTGATGGTCATGTATAAGGAACTTCCCACTAAGGATCACACTGCTGTGCCACCAATTATAATGAATATCACAGGAAGGAGGTAACTGAATATATATTTGAATTAAGCCTAAATTTTCAATTGGGTACGCTGCCACCTTATTGCTTAGTATTCAGGCTGAGTTATATGTGTGGAGAGGATAGTTAGTAACACCCTTCTGTGTTACTATGGTGTTTATTTTCCTCAGAGGGTTTAAAAACCAATGACATCCACACACAGGCTGTTGTAATGTGTTAACTATTGTTAGAGACTGGGAATTTATGGTGACGGGGCCCAGAGGGCAGGGAGGAGATGAGATTCCGATGAGGTTTTTCAACAAGGCTTTATTTCAAGTTGATCAACATTGAGATGAACAGCCCTTGACCATTCAGGTCAAAGAACAGAGACTTTCCATCCTTTGTGGCGCACTTAACAATGTTTTATATCAAACTGGTAAAAACAACACGCAAGCAACTTCTGATTGGTTGCTATGTTTCTAACATCAAAGCCTATTAATGATCCTGTTGAATGTCTGACCCTGAGCTGTGGCTTATCTATCTGCAAGTTTGCTTACCCATGGCTGAAAGAATTTTAGGGAGTGTGGGAGTGTATCTGCTTGTGTCTGACTGAACAAGGAACACAGAGAATAATCATTCTTTCTCTTGCAGCAGCAGTCCTTGGCAAGCAAGGTTTTCTCTATAGACAGGGATTCTGGGACTTGTAATAATTGGAAATTTATTTTTCTTAATCATGTTCCTCTCAATATAATAAAACGTTTATTTAACAGGCTTAAACTCTTCTGGTACAAATGCGTAATGGTTTCTGTAAGTTAATGGCACAAAAGCTTTTAGTTACGTTTGATGTACAATTCTTAGATGGGTACTGGGTTCAAATATAGAGCTAACAAACAGGAGATTATCTCAGGAAACTAATCTCTGATGACAATTCCAAACCAAATTCCCACTTTCTGGAATCTAGCCAAACAACCTTGGCCTAGTCTTCCTCAGGAATAAAAGAAACAGACCATAAGCAAGGTCCTGTTCCCACTCTCAGTATTCCTGGCTAATTCCTCTAGCCCTTGAATACTACAAAAGATTAACCCAATTCTCCTATCTAGCACTATCCAACTGTGAACACCAACCGACTACCTAACTCTCAACTGACAAATCCCAACTGCCAAAACTCAAGCCTCAAATTTTCAAAAAGGACACTTTCCCCCTCTATTTGAATGTTAGGCTCCGCCCCTATTCCTAACCAATCCTGACCATCTACTCTTTGCTTACTAGGCTAGGACACGCCCCCCTCTAAGAAAACCTGACCTAAGATGGCGTCTCCCTGTTTCCCTATCCTCAGATGGCCGCCAGGGCTTCGCTAGGCCCACATTCTGGCTGCTAAAGGTAAGGGTTCTTCACATCATGCCTTCTAACCCTTCATCTAAGTCATAGAGACGTGGTCATAACCAGAACGGGACCGGGCCCAGGAGGGAACCCTGCTGATGGCACTCCACTTGTCACTTCTTTCCAGGATGAAGAGGAAGCCTTGGGGAGAAGCACCCTCGGGGTTCCTTCGCTTAGCCAATTAGAGATCCACCTCACTGTAGAATCCAACCCCTGAGAAGCATGGAGAGAAAGGCAGGGCCTTCATTCATTCTGGGGACAAAACCCAAAGGAAGGCCTCCAACTCCCAGGATACCTAACAATCGGAAGAGAGCATGGGAGTTGTATGGCTGTAAAAGAGCATCCAATGCCTTTTACTGTCTTGCATGCTTTATGCCAAATCACTTTGCAGACTCTGTATCAGACATCCTTTCAGGCTTGAATGCAATAAACCTCAGTTCCTGTTGCCTTCAAACCCAGTTTGTGTGTTGATCTGGTCTTCAAGGTAGTAAACCATGCCAGGCGTTGGATTCTCAGCCCGCGCCTTTAGCAGGGAGCTGAATTTTGGCCCCAGAAGGAGGCAGGAAGGCTCTAAATGATTGATTTTATAAACCATCTTGGCAAACAGATACTCTGACTCATTCAGAACTTGTAAAAACCAACTTTATTGTAGGTGCCATTCAGTTTCGTTATAAAAAAATATACATGGGGAAAATATCATAGAATCACTGAGTTGGAAGAGGCCAGTCCAACCCCCTGCCAAGAAGCAGAAAACTGCATTCAAAGAACTCTCAACAGATGGTCAGGACTGCTTAAGGGGAACAAGTGCTAAATACACGGAATAGAAGAAATGGATTGACATTAGAAAGTCATTTTGAGGAATTTCAACACAGACATCAAACTCTAGCTGCTGGAAAAAGGTGGTAAATTCTAAAGAATTAGAGGGACAACATGAATATTTCCTCCGAATTTCATTCCACCTCCCATGCATTCAGTTTCACCGACGTGAGTCAACAGATGTTTACAACATGATGTAATCCTGCTGAAGGTCTTCCCACATTCCGTGCACATATATGTTTTCTCCCCTGTGTGAGCCATTAGATGATTATTATATGATCCAGGACCACTGAAACTCTTTCCACATTCCATGCATGTGTATGGCTGCTCCCCTGTGTGGGCCCTTAGATGATTATTATATGATCCACTACTACGGAAGCTTTTTCCACATTCATGCATTTGTATGGCTTCTCCCCTGTGTGTATTCTTTGATGGTAACTCAGAGCATTACTCCAACCAAAACTCTTTCCACATTCCATGCCTTTTTATGGTTTCTCCCGTGTGTGTTGTTTGATGGCAATGCAGCTGCACACTCCACCTGAAACAATTTCCACATTCTATACATTGATATGGCTTCTCTTCTGTGTGGGTCCTTTGGTGGGTACGCACATGTGAACTCTAACTGAAACTCTTTCCACATTCCATGCTCCCCTGTGTGGGTCCTTAGATGATGATTATTATATGTTCCATAACTAAAGCTTTTTCCACATTCCATGCATTTGTATGGATCCTCTCCTGTGTGTATTCTTTGATGGTAACTCAGAGCATTACTCCAAAACGCCACATTACATGCATTTATATGGCTTGTCCCGTGTGTGTTGTTTGATGCATACAAAGTTGTGCACTACCACCAAAGCTCTTTCCACATTCTATACATTGATATGGTTTTTCTCCTGTGTGACTCCTTTGATGGCCATGCAGATGTGCCCTCTGAGTGAAGCTCTTTCCACATTCCATGCATTTGTATGGCTTCTCCCCGGTGTGTATTCTTTGATGGCTACGCAGATTTTGACGCCAACCGAAACTCTTTCCACACTCTATGCATTTATATGGCTTTTCCCCAGTGTGCGTTACTTGATGCCTACGAAGTTGTGCACCATCACAAAAGCTCTTTCCACATTCTATACATTTATATGGTTTTTCTCCTGTGTGTGTCCTTAGATGTTTATGGTACGTTGAAATATCATGGAAGCTCTTTCCACATTCCATGCATTTGTATGGCTGCTCCCCTGCATGTACTCTTTGGTGGTAACTCAGAACATTACTCCAACCAAAACTTTTTCCACATTCCAAGCATTTATATGGCTTTTCCCCTGTGTGTATTCTCTGATGCATACGAAGTTGTACACCGTCACCAAAGCTCTTTCCACATTCTATACATTGATATGGTTTTTCTCCCGTGTGAGTCCTTCGATGGCCACGCAGATGTGCCCTCTGAGTGAAGCTCTTTCCACATTCCATGCATTTGTATGGCTTCTCCCCTGTGTGAATCCTTACATGACTCGTACATGTTTGATTATCACTAAAGCTCTTTCCGCATTCCATGCATTTATATGGCTTCTCCCCTGTGTGGGTCCTCTGATGGCAACGAAGATTTCCACTCTTCCTGAAACACTTCCCACATTCCATGCATGTATATGGCTTCTCCCCTGTGTGGGTCCTTTGATGCTCACGAAGGTTTCCACTCTCCCTGAAGCACTTCCCACATTCCATGCATTGATATGGCTTCTCCCCTGTGTGAATCTTGATATGATTCATATATGTCCTATTCTGACTGAAGCTCTTCCCGCATTCCATGCATTTATATGGCTTCTCCCCTGTGTGGGTCCTCTGATGGCAACAAAGCCCTCCGCTCTTCCTGAAGCACTTTCCACATTCCATGCATTTATGTGGCTTCTCCCCTGTGTGGGTCCTTTGATGGTCACGAAGGGTTCCACTCAGCTGGAAGCTCTTTCCACATTCCATGCATTTGTATGGCTTCTCTTCTGTGTGCATTTTTGGGTGTGAGTGTAGATGATCACACGGACTTAAACTGTTTCCACATTCGATGCATCTGTCTCCTTTGTGGAGCTTGGCATCTATGTCTAACTGTGTGTGGCACTTGCAAATTCTCCCACAGTCAGAACACTCAGTTTTTTTATTTGATTCTGAGGTTAGAGGTTCAGAATGATCAGCCTGCTGGAAGGAAGAGAAGGTCTTTAGAGTTTTCACTTGGGTTGTGCTTTCCATGACAGGCTTTGTTACAGCTGGCTCTCCATGGTTCCCGTTCTGCTGATTTCTATTTTGAAGGAAAATAAAAATTCAATTAGAAGAAAGCACAGAAATCAAGGATTGAATAAGAACTGGATATCAACTGTGTACAGGAGTTGATTATAAATTGTATGATTTTAACTGTATTTGTGTTTAGATTGGCTGCAGTAATGCTGGAGCGGCCTAAGTCAGAGGAGTCCTCCATGTGCGTTGCCATGGAGACCGATGCAGGAGAGAGGGAAGTGGGAGGAGCTTAGAGGGGAGAGTTTGAAAAAACGACAGTTAAAAATCAGTTAGGGTTTAGAGGAGTGAGCAGTCCGGGTTTAGGTTCAGAGGAGTCAGGAGTTAGGTTCAGAGGAGTGAGGAGTTAGGAGTTGGGAGAGAAGGAAAGGAAAGGTGGCGGAGTGACTTGTGAAGCAAAGCTTTGAGGCTTTGAAAAGCTGGGTTTGGCTATTGGAAGTTTCTCAGGCTAGTGCAGCCGAATGGTGAAACATAGCTGGTATTCTTTTAGTCTAAGGAGAGGCTAAAGAATAGTTTACTTAGTATTTGATCTAGGGAGGATCAAATAAGGGAAACATCCCTGTATTGAAACTTTGTCTGAAACAAGTGCTCTACGTCAGAAAGATACTGTGTTACTTGAAAGAATGAACTGTTAAAGTTACAAGTATTATTCCAAGTGCAACAAGGAAAAGTTACGTCTTGCAACCACACGCTGTGTACTTAATAAAATTGTTAACTTTTATTTGAAGATTGCCTCAGCTCCGTCTATTCTGTGTACAAAGTGCAATTTCTCACAATATTACAACTTACCTCACGTGGTGGCAGAAACGCAGGGAAAAGTAACCAAATAAATCTACATTCTTCTCTCCAGTCACGCTACAGTATATACAGTGTAATTACTACTAAGTTATTACTTTCTTAATAAAGGAGGAGGTGCAATTGAACAGCCTCCCTTCCAACTTGATGGTAAATTTGGTTCCTAATCGGCAACCTCCATTGCAAATCGGCCAGTTCTTTTTAAAATTGGGAACTGGGGTAAAATCTCCTGAATACTGGTTCCTTTCAAATTGGTGACAACAATAAATCATCCCTCTGCTCCCTTGATTCTTTTCAGATGCCTTAGTTAAATATATGATGTAGAATTGATGTAGTTTGATACCAGGATTGTCTCTACATTGCACCTACCTCCAAAAAACCTCTACATACCTCATGTCAAGTTCAGCACTTTCAAATTCTGTCCATTACATTTGGCCCAGCCTTTAGGTTTTTAAATGCGTCATGATGTCATTGTTTTAGTGTTTTATTGTTTTGCTTGATGTTTTATTATTTGCTTTATGAGTTTTACTGTGATATTTGTATGTTGTTGTTGTTGGCGGCGGCCTTGGCCTTTGTAAGCCGCATCGAGTCCTTCGGGAGATTATGCGGGGTATAAATAAAGTTAATAATAATAATAATAATAACAACAACAACAACATGGCATCCCTTTTTTCGATATGTGGCTATCAGCCAGGAATATCAATACCATTTATTTATTTATTTATTTAATATATTTACCGGTATATCCCGCCCTTTTCCCCTACAAGGGGGACTCAGCGCGGCCTCCCATGAGCATCAGAGGATGCTAACAGCATAAATACCATAAAAATTGCAATTCACAATAAAAATCATTTTAGAACATTGTACAACATCATCAGTAAAATTTACCAATAAATTAATAGACTAACGTGCCAGTAAAATCAAGCCGAGCCAGGAGAATCCATGTCGCAAAATCCAAATTTCCGGTAGAGTCCTGCAGAAGTGAGAAGTGAAAGGACAAGAGGGACCTTCTCAGTTCTGCAGGAGTCTACCGTATACCATGCAGCTGTGGACAAGAAGTCTCCATAGGGACCACCAAATGCAGCAGCCTTGCCCAGACACGAATCAAGGAACATGAAAGGCACTGCAGACTACTTCAACCAGAGAAGTCAGCCATAGCAGAGCACCTGAGGAACCAACCTGGACACAGCATATTAGATGACATGATCACATCGGCCGCACCAATCAGGAATACGAGCATTTTATTGAAATAGCGAAAACCTGCTCACAGGCCTCTATACCGAGAGGCTGCAGAACCAACTACCTTCAGCGCATTACTCCTGAAACAGCTGCCTTGTTGGAAAACTATTACAGGCTCCACAACAAAGACCCATTCAGGCAGCGCAGAACATTGTGTCCTCCATCTCTGAAGCCAAGAAAGAACAGTGGATCAAGCTGATCACAGAGGTCGACATGGGCAGGAGCAGCCAGAAGGCGTGGAGGTTGCTAAGACGGCTGAGCAACGACCCCTCACAAACTAATACCCATGCCAACATAAAGGCAGATCAGATAGCACACCAACTCTTGAAGAACGGGAAACCCAACCTTGCCACCAAAGTAGGAAAGAAACCAATAGCCAGACAACAAGAGATTGAGAACAACAACCTTCATGAACCCTTTACATCTACTGAATTGGACATGGCTCTCAATAAATGTAAAAATGGCAAAGCAGCTGGCCTGGATGATCTACGGATGGAACAGATCAAGAACTTTGGTCCAAAAGCAAGGCACTGGCTGCTGGAGCTGATGAACAACTGCACTGCATCCTGTCAGATCCCCAAAATCTGGAGGAAAGCAAGAGTCATCGCCATCTTGAAGCCAGGCAAAGACCGTAATGACCCAAAAAGCTACAGACCAATCTCCCTGTTGTGCCACCTCTACAAAGTTCTGGAGAGAGTTATTTTGCATAGAATTATGGAAAAAATAGACCCATGTCTGATCCCACAGCAAGCTGGCTTCAGGAAAGGCAAAAGCTGCACATCGCAAGTGCTGAACCTGACTCAGCACATAGAAGATGGCTTTGAAAGGCAGCAGATCACAGGAGCTGTCTTCATAGACCTGTCAGCAGCCTATGATACTGTGAACCACCGCCTCCTCCTGAGAAAAATGTATAATATCACAAAGGACGACCACCTCACCCGCCTCATAGGAAACCTGCTACAAAACAGGAGCTTTTTTGTTGAGTTCCAGGGCCAGAGAAGCAGATGGCGGAAACAGAAGAACGGCCTGCCTCAGGGGAGTGTGCTTGCTCCATCCATGTTCAACATCTACACAAATGACCAGTCACTGCCAGAAGGGACAGAGAGTTTCATCTATGCTGATGATCGTGCCATTACTGCTCAAGCAGGGAGCTTTGAGATGGTAGAACAGAAGCTCTCCGAAGCTCTAGGTGCTCTTACTGCCTATTACAGGGAAAACCAGCTGATCCCTAATCCATCTAAAACACAGACATGTGCTTTTCATCTCAAGAACAGACAAGCATCCCGAGCTCTGAGGATTACCTGGGAAGGAATCCCACTGGAGCATTGAAGCAGCTCTGAAGGAATCCCACTGGAGCATTGCAGCGCACCCAAATACCTGGGAGTCACTCTGGACCGTGCTCTGACCTACAAGAAGCACTGCCTGAACATCAAGCAAAAAGTGGGTGCTAGAAACAATATCATACAAAAGCTGACTGGCACAACCTGGGGATCACAACCAGATACAGTGAAGACATCTGCCCTTGCGCTGCGCTACTCTGCTGCTGAGTACGCATGCCCAGTGTGGAACACATCTCACCACACTAAAACAGTGGCTGTGGCTCTTAATGAGACATGCCGCATTATCACGGGGTGTCTGCGCCCTACACCACTGGAGAAATTACACTGCTTAGCCGGTATTGCACCACCTGACATCCGCCGGGAAGTAGCAGCCAATAGTGAAAGGACCAAGGCAGAGACATCTCCAGCTCATCTCCTGTTTGGGTATCAGCCAGCACGTCAACGACTTAAATCTAGAAATAGTTTTCTAAGATCTACAGAGACACTCGCTGGAACACCTCAGCAAGCGAGAGTCCAAAAGTGGCAGGCTCAAACACAAACCTCAACCAATGGCTGATACCAAATGAGAGACTCCCCCTGGGCACACAGAAGACTGGGCGACTTGGAAGGCGCTGAACAGACTGCGCTCTGGCACCACGAGATGCAGAGCCAACCTTCAGAAATGGGGCTACAAAGTGGAATCCTCGACATGCGAGTGTGGAGAAGAGCAAACCACTGACCACCTGCTGCAATGCACCCTGAGCCCAGCCACATGCACAATGGAGGACCTTCTTGCAGCAACACCGGAAGCACTCCAAGTGGCCAGATACTGGTCAAAGGACATTTAATCAACTACCAAACTCACAATTTTGTATTCTGTATTTTGTATTTTTGTATTTTGTCTGTTTGTTTGCTTTGTTCTGTTAGAAATGTAATATAATTGACTGGTTGCTGATGACTCGATAAATAAATAAATACAGCATATTATTTGAGAACACAGAAATGCTGGATCACTCCAACAACCACCATGTCAGACTACACAGAGAAGCCATTGAAATCCACAAGCATGTGGACAATTTCAACAGAAAGGAGGAAACCATGAAAATGAACAAAATCTGGCTACCAGTATTAAAAAAAACTCTAAAATTACAACAGCAAAACAACAGAGGGGAAACAATCAGGGACATCTAATCACCTCTCAACAAAAGATTGCCCCAGGCACTGCCAGGCCATCAAATGCTAATCAAGGTGGTCAGTTGAAACATTCACACCTAGCTCCAGCAGACAAGAGTCCTTTGCCCACCCTGGTCATTCCACAGAGATATAAACCCATTTTTCCTATTTCCAACAGACCTCACTACCTCTGAGGATGCTTGCCAAAGATGCAGGAGAAACGTCAGGAGAGAATGCCTCTAGAACATGGCCATATGGCCTGAAAAAACCTACAGCAACCCAAAGCTGTGTTTCTTGCCTCCATCCTTTGGGCTCCTGTGTGACTCAAAGCGGTTCCAGCAGGTTCCCAAAGGTAGGGACGCCGTTAAGCAGTAAAAAAAAAAGTTGGGAACCACTGCTCTAAAATATCAGGCACTCCAGATTGTTTTTTCTGTTTGCTCCAAAAGACAATGGAAAGGAAAGGGAGAGAGGACATGGAAGCTCCAGCTCTGGGAGGCCCAATGCTGTAGGGTGAGGAGCAGCGGGAATGTTGCATTCTTACCCAGAGGGCATGCTCTCACAGGTCTCCATTGTATCATCTTCACATGAAGCCCACTAGATCTGATCCAGGACACACAACTCCTTCTTACAGAAACACAAATGATGTCAGAGCCTGAAAGGAGAACAAGATGGAGAACATCACCAAAACGCAAAGCCTGATGATCCGGTTATGGGGTGATAGTGGTGGTTGTTAAGTGTAGCTTGAAGGTCAGGCCAAGTGTCGCAGCCAGTGGTTTGCTGGCTCCTCAAACGACGTTGAGGGGAGAAGGAGGCCATCCAAGCACAGACCTTCTCGGAGGGGAGTTTCTTGGTGGCAAATGAGGAACAGAGAGAGGAAGGGACTGGGGGGCTTCCTTTCACAAGGGGCTGGGGTCAGTTTTTTAAAATTTAATATCAAAAGCATTGCATGAATTAGCATAAAACTGACAAAAATAGAAGATGTGCAGGTGGCTAGAATTGGAAGAGACCTCATGGGCCTTCATCCAGTCCAACCCCATTCTGCCAAGAAGCAGGAATATTGCATTCAAAGCACCCCTGACAGATGGCCATCCAGCCTCTGTTTCAAAGCTTCCAAAGAAGGAGCCTCCACCACACTCCCTCCGGGGCAGAGAGTTCCACTGCTGAACGGCTCTCACAGTCAGGAAGTTCTTCCTCGTGTTCAGATGGAATCTCCTCTCTTGTAGTTTGAAGCCATTGTTCCCTTGTGTCCTAGTCTCCAAGGAAGCAGAAAACAAGCTTGCCCCCTCCTCCTCCCTGTGGCTTCCTCTCACATATTTATACATGGCTATCATGTCTCCTCTTGTAGGGGCAAAGAAACCAAAATATTTCCCAAAAAGGCAGAAGCCCCCTTTCCAATGGGGAGGGCAAGGATGGACGCCACAAAAGTTGAATCTTTTTAACAGCAAAAAACTATTTATTGCGTGGCCATAGCAATAACGACAAACAAGCATACAGGGATGCAATCAAAGGGTTTGTCGCAACCCCCAAGGGGGCTGCAGAATATTTATAGTAAATGGAATATACATTTCCATTCGTTCCCAAAGACAAATCATTTCATTGGTCTAAGCTATTTATTTATTTATTTATTTATTTATTTATTTACTTCATTTATTGACCGCCGCTCTCAGCCCTAGGGCGACTCGCAGCGGTGCACAACATATAAAAACAGTTTACAAAAGACAGAAACAAGCAATCAATACAACAATAATACTATAAACTAGTTACACTAAATAATCCGCTCCGTCATATCCTGGAATCATAACCAATATCATCATCCGTAAACCGTTCCAATTGTCAATTTCTTATTGCCGTAGCGCTCAGTTGAATGCCTTCTCAAAAAGCCAGGTCTTCAGGCTCCGACGGAAGGACAAAAGGGAGGGCGCCTGTCTGATGTCAGCAGGGAGGTCGTTCCACAGCCGGGGGGCCACCACCGAGAAGGCCCTTTCTCTCGTCCCCGCCAGACGTGCCTGTGAAGCAGGCGGGATCGAGAGAAGGGCCTCCCCGGACGATCTCAAAGTAAGCTAGCTATGCAGTTGTTCATTAGTTGTTTATGATTTTGATTGATATTATAGCACACGTGGGATCCTAACGATGGCACAACTATGGTCTATTCTCTGACCATGACTTTATCTTATCTGTTAGTCTGTTGCAAACATGGCTCCAGAGCGATTGGGAAACTTGCGGGTTCTAACTAGCCATTAGCTAGCTGGTTTTAATAGTTTTCTAAGATCTACAGAGACATGCGCTGGAACACCTCAGCAAGCAAGAGTCCAAAAGTGGCAGGCTCAAACCCAGAACCTCAACCAATGGCTGATACCAAATGAGAGACTCCCCCCTGGGCACACAGAGGACTGGGCGACTTGGAAGGCACTGAACAGACTGCGCTCTGGCACCACAAGATGCAGAGCCAACCTTCAGAAATGGGGCCACAAAGTGGAATCCATGACATGCGAGTGTGGAGAAGAGCAAACCACTGACCACCTGCTGCAATGCAACCTGAGCCCTGCCACATGCACAATGGAGGACCTTCTTGCGGCAACACCAGAGGCACTCCAAGTGGCCAGATACTGGTCAAAGGACATTTAATCAACTACCAAACTCACACATTTTGTATTTTCTCTGTTTGTTTGCTTTGTTCTGTTAGAAATGTAATATAATTGACTGGCTGCTCTGACACGAGAAATAAATAAGCTGGTTTTGTCCGGATATACTGTTATCCTTGAACAGTAACTTTTTCTTTGGAGCGTTGATTTCTCAAACAATCAGCATTTTCTGTAAACATAGGCCTACTGCAGAAATAGGCCAATATGGCAGTAGCTCATGATATATGGGCATTGGGAACATCTCTGAAAATTCCCTTTTTTAAACCATGTCTCTCATACTTCTCTTCTTCAGGCTAAACATGCCCAGCTCCTTAAGCCGCTCCTCATAGGGCTTGTTCTCCAGACCCTTGATCATTTTAGTCGCCCTCCTCCTCAAAACCTCTTTTTTTTCCAGGAGGGCAGGACTTCCTGCCTCCCTCTCCCACCATGTGACCCCCACCTCCATGGCCCCCTCCCCTGGCAAAAAAAGAGGCCCATTTGGGGACCTCCTCTTTCCTCTGCACCCCTTGTAGGAACCTGAATTAATAGGGGGGGGGCATCCTGGAGTAGATGGGGCTTCAAAGTGGAAGGAGTTCTCTCTCTGAAGGGGGGGGGGTGTTATGAAGGCTTTCTGAAAGGAGAATCCCACACACAAAGAAAAGCTTCCCTGGCCCTTCCCTTCTGCTCCACCCTCTGGGCCCCAAAAGAGAGAGAGAGGAAAAGACCCCAATGGAGAGAGGAGGCAGAGTCCAAGGCAGCCCCTTTGGGTGGGCCAAGGGGCCCCCCACAATGTCCCTCCACCCCCAGCCCTGCTCACCTTCCCCTCTGACTTCCTTCCTTCTCTTCCCAAGAAAGGAAGTGCACCAAGGTCCACGTGGTGGAGCAGCTCTTCCTCCCGGAAGTGACGTCAGGGGGAAAGGGGGCTCCTCTCCTCCTCCCTTGCCTGCACTTCCTGCCTCTCTAGGATTTCAGGAGGACTGCGATGGGGAGAGCCACAGAGGGAGAGAATCATAGAATCATAGAATCCTAGAGTTGGAAGAGACCTCCTGGGCCATCCAGTCCAACCCCTTGCCAAGAAGCGGAAATATTGCATTCAAAGCACCCCTGACAGATGGCCATCCAGCCTCTGTTTAAAAGCTTCCAAAGAAGGAGCCTCCACCACACTCCGGGGCAGAGAGTTCCACTGCTGAACGGCTCTCACAGTCAGGAAGTTCTTCCTCATGTTCAGATGGAATCTCCTCTCTTGTAGTTTGAAGCCATTGTTCCACATCCTAGTCTCCGTGGAAGCAGAAAACAAGCTTGCTCCCTCCTCCTCCCTGTGGCTTCCTCTCACATATTTATACATGGCTATCATATCTCCTCTCAGCCTTCTCTTCTTCAGGCTAAACATGCCCAGCCTTAAGCCGCTCCTCATAGGGCTTGTTCTCCAGACCCTTGAACATTTTAGTCACCCTCCTCTGGACACATTCCAGCTTGTCAATATCTCTCTTGAATTGTGGTGCCCAGAATTGGACACAATATTCCAGGTGTGGTCTAACCAAAGCGGAATAGAGCATGGGGAGCATGACTTCCCTGGAGAGGAGGGAAGGAGGCACATTGAGGGTCATTCTCCCCAAATGTGGGCTTCACCCCATCTCTCAAAGGAAGGCCAAAGGAGCCCTCCACCCCCCTCCCTCCTTCCCCCTAATCCAGTGTTTCTCAACCTGGGGGTTGGGACCCTTAGGGGGGTCGCGAGGGGGTGTCATAGTGTTTTCTGTTGGTCATGGGGATTCTGTGTGGGAAGTTTGGCTCAATTGTATTGTTGGTGGGTGTTGGGGTTCAGCCTCCGTGCGAACCTGAACCTGAACCTGATTCTTTAATTGTATTTCCTGATGCAACTGAACAGGCCTCTGAACATGTATCTTTCCCTGATGGTGTTGAAACTGTTGATTCTGAGGCCAGTGGCGGGGAAAGTGAAACTGAACTTCCTGATGAGAATGTTTTGGAATCAAGCAGTGATAGCTCTCCAGAGGGACTCACATCTGGGTTTGCTGATGAGGACCGAGGAGAACAGATTTGGAAAAACAGGAGTGAATCGCAGTTTCTACGAAGGTCAAATAGATTACAGGAGAGGGAGGCTTCAAAGTCTGGAGGCGTTTCAAGAAATAGTTTCTTTAGTTTAAGGGGCCTCTCCCCGGCTGTCTAGCAACACACCTACTTCGGAAAAACAGGAGTGAATCACAGTTTCTACGAAGGTCAAATAGATTACGGGAGAGGGAGGCTTCAAAGTCTGGAGGCGTTTCAAGAAATAGTTTCTTTAGTTTAAGGAGCCTCTCCCCAGCTGTCTAGCTAGATCAAGCAACGTTTTAGACTGAGGCAGTACCGTGGCAGATTTCCTGTGTTCCATGGCCTGCATTGCCAGAGGCTTCTAGTTTTCAAGTATGGTTAGTGATGCCAACAGGTTCCTGGTTTCTGTATTGTGGCTTTTGGAATTTGCTCAAGTTCCAAGTTTTTCCTGACTGCTGTGTTTGTACTGTGACATTTTGACTTTGCATTTACCTTTCTTTTGTAACCATTTTTCATCAATAAAGAGGATTTTTTCCCCCCACAGTCCAGTGTGGTGGATTTAATCTTATGGTCTCGTTTCCTGAACTGGGATGCAACAGTGGGATTCAGGATGCTCTTTGATTGTAGGTGAACTATAAATCCCAGCGGCCACTCCCGGGAGTGCATGACTCCAGTTGTTGTGCCTACAGGTTCATCGGAACACGCAAGCCCCCTCACCACGACAAGGTGACAGTCCATCAAGGGGGGGGGGGGAGCCCTGGCCCTTGAGCGCTCCAGCTGGAGGTCAGCTGTGACCAGCAGTGCTAGAATTTGAAGAGCACAAATGGAGGGCGAAAGAGAGAAACGTGCCAAGAGGAAGGCGATTCAAGCCAACCCTTACCGGGACCGCCTTCCACCTGGAAACCAATGCCCTCACTGCGGAAGAAGATGCAGATCAAGTATAGGGCTCCACAGCCACATACGGACCCACAAGAATACTGGAAGACAATCATCCTCGGAAAACGAGAGATCGCCTAAGTAAGTATAAATCCCAGTAAATACAACTCCCAAATGTCATGGTTTATTTTCCCCAAACTCCACCAGTGTTCACATTTGGGCACATTGAGTATTCGTGCCAAGTTTGGTCCAGATCCATCGTTGTTTCGAGTCCACAGTGCTCTCTAGATGGAAGTGAACTACAACTCCCAAACTCAAGGTCAATGCCCACCAACCTTTTCCAGTATTTTCTGTTGGTCATGGGAGTTCTGTGTGCCAAGTTTGGTCCAATTCCATTGTTGGTGGAGTCCAGAATGCTCTTTGATTGTAGGCAAACTATAAATCCCAGCAACTACAACTCCCAAATGACAACATCAATCTTCCCCCCACACCACCAGTATGCAAATGTGGCTGTATTTGGTATTTGTGCCAAATTTAGTCCAGGTTATGAAAATGCATCCTGCATATCAGATATTTACATGACGATTCCAAAACTACAGTTATGAAGTAGCAACGAAAATAATGTTATGGTTGGGGGTCACCACAACATGAGGAACTGGATTCAGGGGTCACGGCATTAGGAAGGTTGAGAAACCATAATCCCTTCCCTCTCATTCAAAATGTTGACCATTTCTGCTCCCTTGGCAGCCACCTCTCCACAAAAGTCAACATCGACACCGAAATACAACACCGCCTGAGCTCTGCAAGTGCAGCATTTTTCCGATGAAGCAGAGAGTGTTTGAGGATTGGGACATCCATAGGGTTACCAAAGTGCTTGTTTATAAAGTTATTGTCCTCCCAACCCTGCTATATGCCTGCGAAACGTGGACTGTCTATAGATGTCACATGCAACTCCTGGAACGATTCCATCAGCGCTGCCTCCGGAAAATCCTGCAAATCTCTTGGGAAGACAAGCAGACAAATGTCAGCGTGCTGGAAGAAGCAAGGACCACCAACATTGAAGCGATGCTCCTCCACCATCAACTCCACTAGACTGAAGGCCACGTTGTCCAGATGCCCAACCACCATCTCCAGGGGCAAACCTCTCCTCCCTTTCCTTTCCTCCCTTGCCTGCACTCCCTGGCTCTCTAGGATTTCGGGAGGGCTAGGATGGGAGAGTCATAAAGGGAGAGAGAAGGTCCTGGGCTAGAGAGGCACCTTGAGAGAGCTTCTCTTCCCAAAGTTAAGCTTCACCTCCATCTCTCAAAGGAAGGCCAAGGGAGCCTTCCACCCCCTTTCCACTTCCCTTCCCTGTTGTTGACCAAGTGTCAGGGCTCTTCTTCCTTTCTGCTCAAGGGAGGCTCCAATAGTCTGTAGGATCATAGCATCCTCGACTTGGAAAAGACCTGGTGGGCCACCCAGCCCAACCCCATTCCACCAAGAAGTCCAACCCCATTCCACCAAGAAGCAGGGAAATTGCCTTCAAAGCATCCCCGACAGATGGCCATCCAGCCTCTGCTTCAAAGCCTCCAAAGAAGGAGCCTCCACCACACTCCGGGACAGGCAGAAAGTTCCACTGCTGAACAGTTCTCTCACACGGTTAGGAAGTTCTTCCTCATGTTCAAGTAGACACCCACTACATGGCTCCTAGCCTCCTCCTAGTAGACTCCAATCAAGGAAAAGCTTTATGAGAACCACCACTCCTCTTGGTGTCCAGCCAGCAACAGCGAGGGTATCCCTCTGGGCAGCTGAACCAGGAAATCTCAACTAGATGGCTCCCCAAGATGGAGGGTCTTCCTCCAGGGGCAAAACAAGAATGGGCAACTTGGAAGTCCCTGAATAGACTCAGAAGTGGAGTGGGCAGATGAAAAGACAACCTGGCAAAATTGCACTACCTAAAAGAATCCCATACTTTTTGTGACTGTGGAGCAGAAGAGACAACTCCGCATCTGTATGCCTGTCCACTATGCCCTGCCTCATGTACAGAGGAAAAATTGTTGGAGGCCACAGACAATGCTGTTGCTGTTGCTCGTTTTTGGTCAAAAGATATTTAGCCACTTGTACTCCTATTTTTATCAGTTTTATACTAATTTACACAATGCTTTTGATATGAAATAAATAAATAAATGTTCAGGTGGAATCTCCTTTCTTTCCTGTAGGTTGAAGCCATTGTTCCATAGTCTCCAGGGCAGCAGAAAAAAAGCCTGGTCCCTCCTCCCTAGGACTTCTTCTTCTTAAAAATAATTTACAACACTTAGGTAAAGGTAAAGGTTTCCCTCTGACATTAAGTCCAGTTGTGTCTGACTCTGGGGTGTGGTGCTCATCTCCATTTCTAAGCTGAAGAGCTTGTCCGTCGACACCTCAAAGGTCATGTGGCCGGCATGACTGCATGGAGTGCTGTTACCTTCCCACCGGAGAAGTACCCATTGATCTACTCATAATGGAAATCATAATAATTTAGAATAAAATAGAAGGTTTAAGTTCTTGCCGATCCTTCGAAAGGGAAAAAGGCATTTCTCTAATGGGGGAACTTTCAAGCCTGTGAAAAACTACAGATGGTATTGATTTTCACTGGACCTTGGTCAGTCAAAGTGTTTGCACTAGCTAACCTTTACTTCGATACGAGGGTCATGATTCCCTTCATGATTTTCATATTAAGAAATAAGTTATAATGAAGTTAAAAGGCTGAATTAACTAAAGGAGATTGCCTTGATCAGATCTTGTGTTATAAGCATATGAAAGTGATAATTCAATTAGAGATTTAAGGAACTGAACTTTAAAGAGTCATCTAACTTTAAAGAGTCATCTAAGTTGATTTTATGCTATAAATGCTGAAGCGATTTAGACCTCAAGTGTGACACTTGTACTCCTTCTATTTTTATCAGTTTTATACTAATTTACACAATGCTTTTGATATGAAATAAATAAATAAATGTTCAGGTGGAATCTCCTTTCTTTCCTGTAGCTTGAAGCCATTGTTCCATAGTCTCCAAGGCACTGGACCTTGGTCAGTCAAAGTGTTTGCACTAGCTAACCTTTACTTCGATACGAGGGTCATGATTCCCTTCATGATTTTCATATTGTTCGCTGTACACCCCATACTCTGCAGAGATAGAAATAAAGGCCTGGAAATTGGACATGCTGTCTCTCCATCCTCTTCCTTCTCCTAAAGCACTCAAATGAATTTCCGGGTATTCCGCAACAAAAAAGCTGCACTCGCAGAGCTCAGGCAGTGTTGTGTTTTGGTCTCAATATTGACTTTTGTGGAGAGGTTGCTGCCATGGATAACATGGTACATCAGTAGTGTATAAATCGGTATGTTCCACATTGAGCTGTTCAAATTACATAACCCATTGTGTTCTCTGAGACTCAATGGGTTATGTAATTCGCAGAAGCATACACGAAGCTTGGCCTGTCACTGAACATCGCGAAAACCAGTCACCAGCCAACCCCTCTCCAATGCCAGAGATACAGCTTAATGGTGTAACATTAGATAATGTTGACCATTTCCGCTACCTTGGCAGCCACCACTCCACCAAAGTCAACATCGACACTGAAATACAACACTGCCTGAGCTCTGCGAGTGCAGCATTTTTCTGAATGAAGCAGAGAGTGTTTGAGGACTGGGACATCCGTAGGGATACCAAGGTGCTTGTTTATAAAGCGATTGTCCTCCCAACCCTGCTATATGCCTGCGATATGTGGACTGCCTACAGACATCACATGCCACTCCTGGAACGATTCCATCAGTGTTGCCTCTGAAACATCCTGCCAATCTCTTGGGAAGACAAGCAGACAAATGTCAGCATGCTGGAAGAAGCAAAGACCACAAGCATTGAAGCGATGGTCCTCCGCCATCAACTCCACTGGACTGGCCATGTTGTCTGGATGCCCGACCACCGTCTCCCAAAGCAGTTGCTCTACTCCGAACTCAAGAACGGAAAAAGGAATGTTGGTGGACAGGAAAAGAGATTTAAAGATGGGCTCAAAGCCAACCTTAAAACCTCTGGCATAGACACTGAGAACTGGGAAGCCCTGGCCCTTGAGCGCTCCAGCTGGAGGTCAGCTGTGACCAGCAGTGCTGCAGAATTTGAAGAGGCACAAATGGAGGATGTCAAGAGGAAGGTCCGTCAAGCCAACCCTGACTGAGACCGCCTTCCACCTGGAAACCAATGCCCTCACTGAGGAAGAAGATGCAGAGCAAGAACAGGGCTCCACAGCCACATACGGACCCACAAGAATACTGGAAGACAATCTTCCTCGGAAAATGAGGGATCGCCTAAGTAGGTAAGTAGTGTATAAATTGGTATACACTACACTACGGTTCCACATTGAACTGTTCAAATTACATAACCCATTATGTTCTCCAAGATTCACCCTTTGTGCAAACCAGATTTGGCAAATAATCTCATCATGGTCTGTTTCACTTTTTTCCCCAATGCATTGAGCCTTTTTGTCTTTATTTTTTTTCTCTTTCTTTTTTCTCACCTTCATCTTATTTTTTTTCTCTTTTCAATTTTCCTATTTCCCTTTAAACATAATGTTCCACCACTTTCAATGTTATCTCCTTTGTTCTTACTTTCTTTTAAACTTTACTTATAATAAAAAAAATATCAACAAGAAGGTAGCAGAACGTGCCGGGCGTTGGACCCTCAGCCCGCTCCTTTAGCAGAGAGCTGAATTTTGGGCTCAGAAGGAGGCAGGAAGGCTCCAAATGACTGATTTTATAACAGATACTCTGACTCATCCAGAACTTGTAAAAACCAACTTTATTGCAGGTGCCATTCAGTTTCATTATAAAATATATATATAAACATGGAAAAAATATCAAGACTTATTAAGGGGAATAAGTATCAACAATACTTGGACTAGAAGAAATGGGTTTCCTATTAGTAAGTCATTTGAGGAATTCCAAAGGTGGTAAATTCAAAGGAACTAGGAACTAAATGACTATTTCCTCTGAATTTCATTCCATGCATTCATAAGATTTCACCTATGTGAGTCAAGAGATGTTTACAACACGAGCTAATACTACTGAAGGCCTTTCCACATTCAATGCACATATATGGTTTCTCTCCTGTGTGAGCCATTAGATGATTATTATACGATCCTGGATCACTGAAACTCTTCCCACATTCCATGCATTTATATGGCTTTTCCCCCGTGTGGGATATTTGATGGCAATGCAGCTGCCTACTCCACCGGAAACTCTCTCCACATTCCATGCACATATATGGTTTCTCTCCTGTGTGGGTCCTTTGATGGGAACGCACATGTGCACTCCGACGGAAACTTTTTCCACATTCCATGCATTGATATGGCTTCTCTCCTGTGTGGGTCCTTACATGATTATTATATGATCCACGATCAGTGAAACCTTTTCCACATTCCATGCATTGATGTGGCTTCACCCCTGTGTGGGATATTTGATGGCAATGCAGCTGCACACTCCACCTGAAACTCTTACCACATTCAATGCATGTATACGGCTTTTCTTCTGTGTGGGTTCTGAGATGGGATTGCACATGTGCCTTCCGACGGAAACACTTTCCACATTCCATGCATTGATATGGCTTCTCCCCTGTGTGCGTCTTTACGTGATTATTATATGATCCACTATCACTGAAACTCCTTCCACATTCTAGGCATTGATATGGCTTCTCCCCTGTGTGGGTCCTTACATGATTATTATATGATACACTATCAATGAAACATTTTCCACATTCCATGCATTGATATGGCTTCTCTCCTGTGTGGGTCCATATGTGATTATTATATGATCCACTATCACTGAAGTTTTCTCCACATTCCATGCATTTAAATGGCGCCTCTCCTCTGTGGGTCTTTAAATGTTTATTATATGTTCCACTAACACGGAAGCTCTTTCCACATTCCATGCATTTATATGGCTTCTCCCCGGTGTGTATTCTTTGATGGCAACTCAGAGCATTACTCCGACCGAAACTCTTTCCACATTCCATGCATTTGTATGGCTTTTCCCCTGTGTGCATTCTTTGATGCAAACCGAGTTGCGCACCATCAGCGAAGCTCTTTCCACATTCCATACATTCATATGGTTTTTCTCCTGTGTGCATCCTTAGGTGTCTATGATACGTTCCAGTATCTCGGAAGCTCTTTCCACATTCCATGCATTTATATGGCTTCTCTCCTGTGTGTATTCTTTGATGCCTACGCAGATGTGCGCTCCGGCGGAAATTCTTCCCGCAATCCATGCATTTATATGGCCTCTTCCCAGTATCAATATGTTTCTCCCCTGAGTGAATCGCCTGGTGGTTAATGCATGTTCGATTATCACTGAAACCCTTTCCGCATTCCTTGCATTGATATGGCTTCTCTCCTGTGTGGGTCCTTTGATGGCCACGCAGATGTGCCCTCTGAGTGAAGCTCTTTCCACATTCCATGCATTTGAATGGTTTCTCCCCTGTGTGGATCTTTATATGATTCATATACGTTCGGTTATCACTAAAGCTCTTTCCGCATTCCATGCATTTATATGGCTTCTCCCCTGTGTGGATCCTTTGATGACAACGAAGCCTTCCACTCTCCCTGAAGCACTTCCCACATTCCATGCATTTATGTGGCTTCTCTCCCGTGTGGATCATCTGATGGCGACGCAGATTGCTGCTAAAACCAAAGGTCTTTCCACAATCCATACATTGATAGGTTTTCCTTTCTGTGTGTGTTCTTTGATGTGAATGTAGATGATCACACGGACTAAAACTGTTTCCACAGTCCATACATTGGTCTCCTTTGTGGAGCCTGGCATCTATGTCTAACTGTGAATGGCATTTGCAAATTCTCCCACAGTCAGAACATTCAATTTTGTTTGATTCTGAGGTTAGAGGTTCAGAATGATCAGCCTTCTGGAAGGAAGAGAAGGTCTTTGGGTTTGTCACTTGGGTTGGGTTTTCCATGTCAGGCTTTGTTACAGCTGGCTCTCCATGGTTCTCGTTCTCTCCCTGATTTCTATTTTGAGGGAAAAGAAAATTCCATTAGAAGAAAGCACAGAAATGAAGGATTGAATAACAACCTGATCTCAACTGCTTCTTAAGCTCCAAGAATCTCCTTAATCTACTTAACATGTGCTATGCTAATAATATAATGTAATGTAATATAATATATTGTATATACATATAATATTTGTATTATTATGTAATGCAATATAATAATAATATAACTATATATTTATATTACATATAATCTTACAATATAATGGTATAGTACAATATAGTAATATTTAATACTGATATTGTACTATGCTAATAATATAATATATTCTATGTATGTATGTATATAGGCCCTGTCCTTCGTCTCTGACCATCGCACTTGCGAGGCAGGCGGGATCGAGAGCAGGGCCTCCCCAGACAACCTTAAGCTCTTAGATGGTTCATAGGAAGAGATACGTTTGGACAGATAAGCTGGGCCTGAATAGTTTAAGGCTTTATAGGCTAAAGCCAGCACATTGAATTTCAAGTTTTTCCTAAAAGCTGACAAGGTGGGAGCTAACATAATCACCCCAGGTAATGAGCTCCAAAGCTGGGGTCCACCAAACATCACAATGTATTGAAACAGCTGTGGATTTGAGTGGGAGGCAGACAGCGTTGGATAATACAGAACATTGGATATGCAAAGGTTAGCTAAGTGAGACTCTACTGTACATTCTTAAAACATCAGAGATGAAGCCCTTGAACTGATCAGATTAACCCCTATTCCTTCTTTGTGGGCTCTCTGGCCTTAGGAAACCACATTTCTGAATTCTTTGTTTAGAGAATTGCTCCAAAGATAACATGTAAGAGTTTCCCCATCACTCGAAACTCCAAAAGACAATGGAAAGGAAAGGAAGAGGGGACATGGAAGCTCCAACTCTGAGGAGCAGTGGAAAGGACATGTTCTTACCCAGAGGGCATGTTCTCACAGGTCTCCATCGTCTCGTCTACATATGAAGCCCACTAGACCTGATCCAGGACACACAACTCCTTCTCCGAGAAACACAGGACGGCTTCCTCAAAGGATTCCAGTACCTGAAAGGAGAACAATGAGATGGAGAACATCAACAAAATGCATATCCTGCTGGCCTGGTTATGGGGTGATGGTGGTGGATGACAAGAACAGCTTCAAGGATCAGTGTCATCACCAGCAGTTTGGTGGGTCTGGCTCAGCTGGTGCTGAGCGCTTGGAAGAGGTTAATCTGACTCCTGCTTGGAAGGGGTCAAGATGGTCTTCCATTCCCAAGGAATGTCTTACAGGTTTCAGGGATTATTGGTGAAGGCCTGCTGAGGATCTCTGCATAAAAAGAGGGACGGAAGGGATTCCTCGTTAGTAGTACTAAAGTCAACTATGGGAGCAATGTCTTGGATCCTGGCTGTTACCCTTGGGCTAGATCTCTAGTCCTGGATCTTGACTCTACTGCCCCTGGGTAGAATAATGAACTCTGACCTTGGCTCCCGTAATCCTGATCCAGACCTGAATCCTTGACTCTGAATTTTGACTTCCTGGTTTGATTTGTGGACTTGAATTCTGGTTTCTACCTTTGGAATAATAAATGTATAATAATAATAAATAATAAAAACTTTGGGTTGTTGTAGTTTTTTGGGGGCTATATGGCCATGTTCTAGAGGCATTTCTCCTAACTTTTCACCTGAAATGCTAATCAAGGTGGTCAGTTGAAACATTCACACCTAGCTCCAACAGACAAGAGTCTTTTGTCCCACCCTGGTCATTCCACAGATATATAAACCCCTTTTCCTAGTTCCAACAGACCTCACTACCTCTGAGGATGCTTGCCATAGATGCAGGCAAAACGTCAGGAGAAAATGCCTCCAGAACATGGCCATATAGCCCGAAAAAACCTACAACAACCCAGTGATTCCGGCCATGAAAGCCTTCGACAATACAATAAAAACTTTATTTATAGACCAACCTTTCTCTTTCCCCAGGAGAACTAAGGGTTGTTTCCAGACAAAAAAAGGTAAACATTCAATGCCCAGATGAATGCAAATACATTATAGTAATACAACATAATACAAAATAATAATTACCTTTTACTATTATTATTATTATTACTACTACTACTACTACTACTACTACTACCTGTCCCCTGCCACATGATTGCTGTGGCCCACATGGGGGTTCTGTGTGGGAGGTTTGGCCCAATTGTATCGTTGGTGGGTTTCAGAATGCTCTGTGATTGTAGGTGAACTATAAATCCCAGCAACTACAACTCCCAAATGTCAAGATTCTATTTTCCCCAAACTCCACCAGTGTTCACATTTGGCATATTGAGTATTTGTGTAGAGTTTGGTCCAGATCCATCATTGTTTGAGTCCACAGTGATCTCTGGATGTAGGTGAACTATAGCTCCAAAATCAAAGAACACTGCCCATCAAACCCTTCCAGTATTTTCTGTTGGTCATGGGAGAACTGTGTGCCAAGTTTGGTTCAATTCCATTGTTGGTGGGGTTCAGAATGTTATTTGATTGTAGGTGAACTATAAATCCCAGCAACTACAACTCCCAAATGACAAACTCAATTTTTTTAGTGATGGTCACTCCTTGGGTTGTTAGGTGTCTTGTGTCCAAATTTGGTGTCCATTCCCCCAGTGGTTTTTTAGTTCTGTTAATCCCACAAACGCACATTACATTTTTATTTATATAGATAATTCAAACCTTGTGAAGTGATAAGGGGGTATAAACAAACATAATAAACCTTGGAAAGACTTTTATGTTTGAGTTCTTTGTCTAAGTAAGTTTCATTTTGTCACATCCCAGGTTAAATTCTGGTTTTGTTATCAGGCGAGAGCCTTGGGACACAAAACGCAGGTTGTATTGTGGGTCCAAGATGTTTGTGGTATGTTGCTGTTCATTCATTCCGTTGTCTCCGACTCTTCGTGACCTCATGGACCAGTCCACGCCAGAGCTCCCTGTCGGCCGTCACCACCCCCAGCTCCTTCAAGGTCAGTCCAGTCACTTCAAGGATGCCATCCATCCATCTTGCCCTTGGTCGGCCCCTCTTCCTTTTGCCTTCCACTTTCCCCAGCATCATTGCCTTCTCTAGGCTTTGATGTCTCCTCATGATGTGGCCAAAGTACTTCAGGTTTGTATTATAGGGGGTGATAATTCTATATTCAGAACCAGAGATGTGCCATTGAAGAACTGTTGTGTATGTTACATTGTACTTGACTGTGTAATCATAGAATCAAAGAGTTGGAAGAGACCTTGTGGGCCATCCAGTCCAAGAAGCAGGAATATTGCATTCAAATCACCCCCGACAGATGGCCATCCAGCCTCTGTCTAAAAGCCTCCAAAGAAGGAGCCTCCACCACACTCCGGGGCAGAGAGTTCCACTGCTGAACGGCTCTCACAGTCAGGAAGTTCTTCCTCATGTTCAGATGGACATCTTCCATGGCAGAGGTTGGACTGGATGGCCCTTGGAGGCCTCTTCCAACTCTAGTATTTGGCCAGAAGTGAAGATTTACATTTCAAAACCAGCACTGAATGAACTGCCGATGCCTAATACAGCATGTTTCCTGAACACTGCAGTGACAAACGGACAAGATCACAAATTCATGCCTTCTGCAAGAAAGGTAAAAGGGCTCCTTACCCAGAGAGGCCTCTTTACCAGTCTCCTTGGAGGGACCCCGGAGGCCTGGATCCAGGAAAACCCACTGGCTCTGGGGCCACCTTCTCCTCAAAGTAGACCTGGAGCTGAAGGGGAGGAAAAGCACAATGTTGATGTCACGACGAAACAGCCTTCTTCTATCTCCCTTTATGAATCTATTAGAATCTCATTTTGAGAGGACATAGAATCATAGAATCAAAGAGTTGGAAGAGACCTCATGGGCCATCCAGTCCAACCCCATTCTGCCAAGAAGCAGGAATATTGCATTCAAAGCACCCCTGACAGATGGCCATCCAGCCTCTGTTTAAGAGCTTCCAAAGAAGGAGCCTCCACCACACTCCGGGGCAGAGAGTTCCACTGCTGAACGGCTCTCACAGTCAGGAAGTTCTTCCTCATGTTCAGATGGAATCTCCTCTCTTGTAGTTTGAAGCCATTCTTCTATTGCGTCCTAGTCTCCAGGGAAGCAGAAAACAAGCTTGCTCCCTCCTCCTCCCTGTGGCTTCCTCTCACATATTTATACATGGCTATCATATCTCCTCTCAGTCTTCCCTTCTTCAGGCTAAACATGCCCAGCTCCTTAAGCCGCTCCTCATAGGGCTTGTTCTCCAGACCATTGATCATTTGAGTCGCCCTCCTCTGGACACATTCCAGCTTTCTCTCTACATCTCTCTACACATATAAACACAGAAATACACAAATATATACACACGTATACGTGCGCGCACACACACACACACATATATATACATATACACATACATACACATATACACAAATATATACAGACACATAAACACACTCAAAACACATATACTCAGACTGGGCCACAGCAACACGTGGCTGGAGACAGCGAGTGTGTTCATATAAAAAGCCTTTTGGGAAAGAGGAAAGGCTTGAAAGGAAGTCATGCTAAAACTTTAGTTTTGTAACATCTTCAAAAAGGAATGTTGACATCTTTGTAACCAACAAGCATTTGTACTTTTGAAACCACTACGCTTTTGTCACAAGAACGATACAAATAAAGTAACAGTTACTTCTTCCATTTAAGCCAAGTCTCTCCCAATCTCTCGCCTCTAACTTGAGAAAACGCAAAAGGTGGAGGAAGAATTCAACCACCTTTGATGCTTTGGTGGCATTTTTGCCTGACCCTGCCTGACCTTTGGGCATTTTGGGTGAGATAAATAAATAAACAAACAAACAAACAAACAATAAAGCCTTGGTCTCTGAATTGGGGGGTGGGAGACATCAGAACTCCCTCCCCCAAGCCTTGAGTCTGGCTCCCCCCCCAATTATCTTTTCTTGATTGCTCCCCTGTACTTCGCCCCCCATCCCATCATAGCCCCCCCCCACTTCCCCAGAGTCCAAGGCTTTCCTCCCATTGCCTTTCCTCCCAGTCTCGGCCCCACAGAGACCCCCCCCCCCAAGAAGGGGAGGGAATGCAGCCCCACTGACTGCCTCTTTTAGGGGCTTATATGGGCCCCCTCCCCTGGCAAAAAGACCCACCCTGAAGGGCCTCCCTTCCTCCTCCTCCTCCTCCTCCTCCTCCTCCTCGAAACCCCTTCCCTTTTCAGGGGGCAGACCTCCCTGCCTTCCCCCCACCCACGGGACCCTCTCCAATGTCCCCATGAGCCCCCCGCCCGGAAAGAAGAGGCCCACTCCCCACCCACCCAACCCCGCTTACCTCTGCTCCCCTTGCAGGCACCTGAATGAAACATCCAGGGAAACATCCTGGAGGAGATGGGTCTGGTCTCCCTGAAGGGAGGGGGGGCACTTGGCGTGGAGGAGAACCCTCCCCCCAACACACACACAGGCCAAGGCTTCCCTTCCTGCTCCCAGCGAGAAAGAGAGAGACCTCACTGCAGAGAAGGAGGCAGAGCCCAAGGCAGCCTCTGGGAGGGATCCAGGGGGCAGCCCAGAATATCCCCCCCAGCCCCGCTCACCTTCCTTCTTTCCTTCATCTCCTTCCTTCCTTCGCTTCCCAAGCAAGGAAATGCCACAAGGTCCTCGCCCCTCCCTTCTGGAAATGCTGTCAGGGAGGAAGAGGCTTTTCTCCTCCTTCCTTCCTTTTTTCCCTTCCTCTCTCTCCCCCTTCCTCCTTTTTTCTTTCCTTCCTTCCTTCCTTCCTTCCTTCCTTCCTTCCTTCCTTCCTTCCTTCCTTCCTTCCGTCCTTCCTTCCTTCCTTCCTTCCTTCCTTCCTTCCTTCCCTCCTTCTCCTCCCTTCCTCCCTTCTTTCTTTCTTTCTATTTCTTTCTTTCTTTCTTTCTTTCTTTCTTTCTTTCTTTCTTTCTTTTCTTTTATTTCTCTTTCCTTCCTTCCCTTTCCTTCCTTCCTTCCTTTCTCCCTCCTTCCTTTCTCTTCCCCCCCTTCCCTTCCTCTTCCTTCCTCTCTCCCTCCCTCCTT